ACCACTGAGCACAGAGCTGACAGTAACCTCACCAAGCACAAACCTTATTGTGATCTCTGCTTCTCACCTCAAAGTATTATTTTCACAATTGTCAGATTGCAGCAGGGACGTCTTGTTCCTCAGCTTTGGTTGCTGCATTATCAGCCTGACCTTGGTTCAGTCAGACAGCTACCTCGAAGCCAATCACACCTTTTGTTTCTCATTCATGGCCTAAAACTATTTTGCTTTTGACTCTGAAGCCTTTGTGTTTAGACAAACTACTGACTGTTCTTGTGTCTCTGTCCCAAACTACAGCTTGACCTGTAATATTATTTGGTACATTCTAAGAACTTTTTAGCTTTTAGTGATTGTTGTCCCTTAAAATGTGCCGATTTACAGTGGAAGCATGCAGATGATGAAGCATACACACATCCTGAGTCACTTACATCAGATTGCCTGAGTCGGAGTTCAATCCCACGTTTCCATGTCCCTACATCTCCAGTCAGTGTCCTTAACCACTGAACCATTTCCAGCACCGATCAACCCAAAGAACCAGACCGAGGAAGAATATCGGACTGAATCTGTAGAAACTTTATCTCCATCATCTTGTAGAGAAACAAAGTTTACAGACTTCACACTGAAACGGATTCAAGCTGACATTATATATGATTCTAATTATTCTGTGTGCACTCAGTACATCTTATATATTTCTGACAGCTCAGCTGATTGAGAAGGAAATTTACAGTCTGAAGGTTGTTGGTTTGAATCCCTCCTGGACTGAATTGTCTTTTCCTCCTGTCAACCCTCAGAGGCCTGTTTCATAAAGGTTTCTCTTATTGTGAAAAGCCTGTCTTGAATGAGCCAAACAAACTGAACTAGGATCAGTCTGTTTCATGAAGACAATTCATCAATTTTCTCAGAGGAGAAAATCAGTCCGAACTGGACAAAAGCTCTCAGAGTGACACATGTTTGGTTCTTTTTTTGGAGGAAGAATGAAACTGCTGTAATGTATCAGAGCAGCAGAGGAGTTTTAACCTTCAGCTGCTGCTGATGGAGATCGCACTAATGTTTAGGGAACACTTGATGGAACTAAATTATTCAGAGATCTTTTTGATAAAAAGCAGAATCACATTATTCATTCATCCTTAAACACAACTTTGGGATGAAGCCCTGACTTTGATTGAAAATGAAAGTCTCTTTCAGGGATTGTTACCCCTTAAAAACCTTAAACCATGCAGATAATCCATTAAAAACCCTCCATAGGAAAGATAGGATTGGCTCAAATTAAAATATAACCTTAATTGGCACATTTTCTCATTTTCATTTTTCATTTTCTCTGCTGGAAGGGAACTTTATTGTATTTGATCTATAGGAGTATCCAGAGGACTCTATTGCTCCGTTTATTTTCAAACATGATCAGACCTTCTGAGTCCGTCAGTGTCATATATTGGCATACATGATATTGAGAAGAGCTAAGGACCAAATACAAAATCAATGTCATGTCAATCTGGAGTTGTTGTGAACCTGGAAAGCCAGCAGAGGGCAGACTGCGTCTAATGAGAGTAAAGGCCTTTGGGACAGTTTACAAAGACAGAACCAGCAGAGAGAAGAGGAACAGAGAGTCAGAAGCTTCTTCATGTTCTTAATCAGTCCACAGAAAGATGTAGCCTCCACTTACTCCACCTCATCTCTCCCTTTCAGTTTCACAAGGACAGCTGTGTGTTTGCCTTCTTAAATGTATTTTGCATTATTTGAATGCATCACTGCTCCTCACAGCTTTAAGTTCTCATGACACAGAAAGTCTGAACTGTTTTCATGCACTCACACTGAAAACTGCATCAGGATGAAGTTGTCAATGATTGTCATGTTGGCTTTTCTGTGTCAGGGTGAGAGATTTTGAAAATGTATCTGACATTATTGGAATATTTTATGTGTGGTTCAGTTTCTGTCCTTTTCATGTTTGGATCCGGTTTTCTTTCTGTCTTTATTTTCTTCTTAATATTATAATTTGCACTAATGCTCCATGTTGTTGAGCTATCCAACATTTCTTCTGAAGGTCACATTTCATTTTTCCCTTCAGAGACTTCTGCAAACAATTTTCTGACTCAGACTGACAAATCCAAGTCTGTCAGTCTTAGAGGGACTGTGACCATCAGCGCCACAGGGAGTTCGAATATTGG